TCCATGTACACATTCCTCATGAACACAATTAAGTGTTCAAGAATACTCATATTTCGCAGTGTTGTCCATAACTTGCCATGGGTCACACAATCTAAAGCCTTTGCATAGTCAATAAAACACAGGTAAACAAACATGTTTCTGGTATTCTCTGCTTTCAGCCAAGATCCATCGGACATCATCAATGATATCCCTTGTTCCACATCCTCTTCTGAATCCGGCTTGAACCTCTGGAAGTTCTCTGTCAATGTATGGTTGTAGCTGCTTCTGTTTACCTTTAGTGAAACTAAAGGCATTTATTACCTTTAGTAAAACTGACCTTATTTTGGCTGATGATAGGGAGCATTTCCACCATCTTGTTCCACAGATGTAGTCAATTTGATTTCTGTGTATTCTACCTGGTGAGATCCATGTGTATAGTCATCACAACTGATGGGAATCCTATATAAAGGAGCTCTGGTAGCCTAGTGGTTACAAATCTGGCTGCTAACCTTAAAGTCAGCAGTTCAAAACTACCAGATGGTCACAGGAGGAAGATTTACAATCTTGGAAATCCTATTCAGACTCAGTATAACTCGGAACTGACTCCACAGCACATAACCACCACCACCAGTCCTATATAGGGTTTCAGAGACTGTAAATCTTTATAAGAGTAAAGCCTCATCTTTCTCCCAGGGAGCAGCTGGTGGGTTTGAGACACTGATCTTTCAGTTAATAGCCTAACATGTAACCCACAGAGCCACCAGGGCTCCTTGATTTTAATATTAGTAAGTTACAAATGGAGTCCTGGTGTGGTGCTGTAGGATAAACCCTGGACTGCTAATCACAAGGTCCGCAGTTAAAATTCACAAGTCACTCCTCAGAAACCTTATGCAAGATCGCTATGAGTTGGAACCGACTCAAGGGTACTTAACAACAACAAGGTCTCAAATATTGCATAGGACTTGCTATACTTAAAAGTACTCCTTATTTACCCGAACTTAAAATTTCATTGGGTACGCTGTAGTTTTATTTGCTAAATCTGGCAGTTCTACCCCTGATCTCTGTGAGGTTGAGTGGCACCAGACCTGTGGTTGAAAGGGCAGAGGAAGAAAAGAGGTACAGATGTGCAATTTCAGAGAGGCCAGACTTGAGCATGAGAGGTGGCTGGGTTTGGGGAAAAGCCAAGTCAGGCACTCCAGAGAAGTAAACACAGTTCTATTTTGCTGTTGTGGCTTTGAGCCCTAAGGCCAGGAAGCAGACTTTTAAGCCTAAATCCAGATTTTAACAACAGAAATGGAATCAGTATTTATGGCCCAAAACCCTCTTAGAAGGTCCCCTGGGAGCTGAGGGTCACTGCAGGCTCACTCTGCTGTCAGGACTCCACCTCTCTGGCCCATGTAAGATCTGACCCAGGGCTAGACCTGAGCCCTAGAGAATGGACCCTGGGGGTGGAAGTGGCAGGGTCAGGCCCATACTCTCACTTTCACACCCACTTCCTGGCCTAGGAACTAGAGAGGTCCTGGACTAAAGCCCAGCCAGGCCTGTGGGGCTGCTGGAGGCGGAGGGGGGAGTAAGAGGGAAAGTAAGTAAAAACCTCAAGTACTTGGGACACTTTAAAAATAAACATATGGGGGAAGTGTGTATTCAAGGAGGCTACGGTTTGTAGCTCAACAGGCTGTAATCTAGCTTGACCTGGCTCCTGGGCTGCTCTGGAGTTGCTGTCTCAGGGCCAGGCCTGGAAGGGAAAAGGAGTTGATGAGGTGGTGGAAGTGCTTATGAAGCTGGGAGCTGAGTTTCCCTGAGCAGAAGCTGGCAAAAGAATAGGAGATGAGTACATTAAAAGGAAAAAAGAAAAAGGTAACAGATGTAAATACTGTTGACTGAGAGTACATGGAGGGGATTGTAATCATTACAATGATTTGCTGAATGTAAAACTGATGGTCTGCCCTGTAAGCCTTCACTCACGCAATACACAATAAAAGCTTAAAAATTAGCATAAAAAGCCTGTTTCAAACTGCATGCCATAAAATGATATAATAAAAAGGAATGCTGTTATGCATTAAATATTAACACACTGAAAAAGACCAACATATAGACCTCTGCTACCAGGTCATCCTGGTTGTTTGAAGCCCTTGAAATAAAGTTTTCTTCTCCAAAAAAAAAGAAGATGAGCAAGGAGAAGAGATAAAGTTTCTTTCTTGCTGCTCTTCTGTCTCACCTCTGATTAATGGATGTTCCTGGTCTCTGCCCAATGTGGGTCTTGTGCGGGTAGAGAAAGGATCATATAGAAATGACTCTGTTGTTGTTAAGAGTCGCGACTCAGTTCTGACTCTGTTGTTGTTGTTGTTAAGTACCGTGGTGGAGTTGGTTCCGATTCATAGCGATCCTGTATAGGGTTTCCCAGAAGCGGCTGGTGGGTTTCAACCGCCGACTTTTAAATTCAAACTGACCTTGCGGTCCAGCGCATTATCCTCTAGCGCCACACCAGTACTCCTAGCGACCCCGTGATAGGGTGTTTCTGAAGAGCAGCTGGTGAGTTTGAACTGCCCACCTTATGGTTCGTAGTCCAGTTCTGACCCTACAGTGCCACACCAGCAGTCTATAGCAGGGCAAAGCTAACATGCCAACTCCCTGCGCCCCTCCCCCTTCATATTGAGGCCTGAGTGATGCAGGGCCTTAGACAAGATCCCACAAGTGGCAAAAAAAACTGATCAGACAGAACTCCAGTGCCAGCCTGTTTCTGTTATACTCTGGATATTCAATCTTTTCACCCTCCTGGTCCAGTCCACCTTCATCTGCCCGATAGGACTCCGCCAGTGCTTCTAGGGTGGAAATAGTCATTGTCACCCATTGGGGGTACCCTGGTAGGATGTGGGTGGGCCTAGCCTCTAATTAACTAGTCAAATCTTTCCTTTTTTTTTTCTGTCTCTTTTCTCGCGTTTCCCGACCTTTCCCCTTTTTTGAGTGTGTGGGTGCGCACGCGGGCACATCTCTCTCTCTCCCTGGCGCCTCTGACGTCTCTTCTCTAGCTCCTAAATCGCTCTGGAATCCGAGCTGTTTAAAGGAGGATCTGTGCCCCTTCCTCCGCCCCCGCCCCTCATTCCCAGGCTGGCAGAGACTGGCGGTAGAAAGGGAAGGGGCGGGGCTACTAGGGCCAGCGCCCTCCTGGATCTAATTAGGGAAAACGCTGGGTGAGGGGTGTCGGGAGAATGCAGGCGGAATGGGAAGAAGACTGGGGGAGGGGACCAGTTTGGAGAAGGAGAGAAGGAAATGGGCAGCTGCTCCCTCCCATTTAAACCCTTCTCTCCGCCCGCCGAAGACCCGCAGATCTAGGGATTTGGGGCTTGAGATGGAGGCCCGAGAAACTAGATAGCTGGAGTTGGAGGCGGAGGGAGTGAGACTCAGCGCTCCTCTCCCTTTTCTTATACCCCTCCCCCTTTCATGCCGTTCTTTGAAAATATTTCCTGTCTCTTGTTTCTCAATCCCTGGTTGAGATCCCACGATTACTCAGCCTCTCCGGTTTTAGTCATTCTCTCTGCCCGCCCCGAAGTCTGGGGTAGGGGCAGCTTGGGGGAGGGGAGCTCTTCTGCCAGCTGGGCGGGGGCGGGGCTGGACTTGCCCGGGGCTTTAACCCTCTCACCACTAGAAGTCAGGGCTTCCAGTTGTAAGCCTGTGTGAACTCTGCCTGGAGGCAAAACTTCTTGTATTTTGTTTCCCCCACTTGACTCAGTTAGGAGAGTGTGGCAACGTTAATAAAATGAATAGCAACATTTATTGAGCACTTAATCAAATGCCTGGTACTATTCCATTTAATCCTCACAAAAACTCTAGGAGATAGGTACTATGAAAGCGCTTCTCAATCTTCAAGGCTATGTACAACTCATCTTGTTGAATGGCAGATTTTGAGAGTCTGCATTTCTAACTAGTTCCAAGGTGGTGCTGAGTTAGGGTCAGAATATGTGTCTTTTGGAACCTTCCTTTCAGTGGGAGGTTGAGCTGGAGGCTCTCTCTGATGTCACACAACTAAAGTTCTGAGCCTAAGCCTACCTAAAATGTTGGGTCCCCAGAATCATCATCCCAGTCTCATAGAACATGGCTTATTTGTATCTTCTTTCCAGTCATGATAAGGTCCAAGCTGAGGGTGGGGGTGGCACTGCATACATTTAGATACACTCAACACTAAAATCTGCTATGTCACATACTGGCTGGTAGGGCCTTGCACAAGTCTCTCTCATCTTTTCAGAGCCTTGGTTCCCTCATCTGTAAAGAGGAAATCATTCCACATACCTGGTTGGGTTGTTGTGTTGAGGTTAAAGGTGATCATCACTTAAATCACGTAGCAGAGTGCTTGGCACACAGTGGGCTCCTTTATTTACAGTGCTCCTGCACTGCCCAAGGTCCTTCACCTTGCCTGGTGACATTTCTTCCCTGTGAAGGTCACTGCCCAGGCCCCCAGTCCAACCCTGCCCCTCAGTGGTCATAGTCTGGTTAAAGGCCCCCAGTGCCTCCTTGTGTATAACGAATACTGAATACCTACTCAGTGTTATGTACTGGTTGGGGAAGGATGGGAGGATGTGGAAAACATGGTCTCTGCTTTCCAGAAGACTGTGGTTGACTGTGGAAGCCAGAAAGGCTTCCTAGAGAAGACCTTTGAGAAGAGCTAAGGCAAGGATGTCTCAGTCATGAGAAAAAATATTAGGTAGCATATTTTGAGCACGTATCATGAACCAGGCACTATTCTAGGTGTTTATTTTGTTTAACACTCAGTCAAACAGGAAGAATTACATAGGATTATTCCCATTTTACAGATCAGAAAACTGAGGGGGCATGGGAAGGTTAGGTAGACTTGCCCAGGGTCACATAGCTAATAAGGAAAAGAGGTAAGAATCCTCTACCCTCATCACTTTGTGTATTCCCAGTGGAGTCCAGGATACTTTGTACAAATTAATTAACTGTATTTCTGTCATTTCTAACTGTTGGGAGACTCTAAGTTTAGTTCTGTTCTTTCTTTGTCTCTGCAGAAGCTGCTGATGGGAGCTCCACCCTGGGAGGGGGTGCTGGCACCATGGGTTTAAGTGCCCGTTATGGGCCCCAGTTCACTCTGCAGCATGTGCCCGACTACCGCCAGAACGTCTACATCCCTGGCAGCAATGCCACACTGACCAACGCAGCTGGCAAGCGGGATGGCAAGGCCCCAGCAGGTGGCAATGGCAACAAGAAGAAGTCAGGCAAGAAGGAGAAGAAGTAATGTGGAGGCCAGACCTGGAGCCACAGGCAGCCTCTCTCCCCAACCAGTCCAGACTCCCCCACCTGAACCCAGGCCTCCGAATTTCAGGGCTACCCCCATGATGCTGGTAGGGCCCAAGGCCATGCTCCCTTTGGGAAAGAGAAACAAGTGCCCAGTCAACATCCCCCTCTCTGCCCCCAGAGGGTTAAATATGCAAAGGGAGTTCTGCTGAGAACCCCCATCCAATCAATCTCTGTGCCCATGGGGATGGTGGGGTTAGTGTAGAAACCAAGAACCATTAATCACACCCTCTTCAGTTACACTTGAACTCCTCCATCTTCCAAATTCAATCAGGCCATCCACCCCCTGCTTCCCTCCTCCCTAGCCTACTCCACCCCACTTCTTCAACACCTCTTTCTTGATTAAGATGGTTGGGGTATTGAGGTACCAGGTTCATCCTTCTTAAGAGTTGGAAGGGCATCGTGACCTCTTAGACTCTCCTTCTACTCTCAAACTTTCCCCAAAGCATGGTTGGTGTCAGTTCTTTCATCTCCTTTTAGAGTCTGAGACCGTGCTCAAGTTTTGGGGGACACGGTCACCATTCCCATGGTACTGATGCGTGCTGGATTTACGGAGGGCATTTTGCTACCAAGCCCCTTCCCAACATCTTGGGGCCCAGTCTTTTGTTTCTCATTGTTTGGTGTTCCCACTGCATGCTGTGACTTCCCTGACCCCTCCCCAAACAAAAGACTCCATTGCATGCTCCAAAACAGTATGGGGTGGAACGATGAAGAAGGAAAGGAAAGGGTATGTATGTGGATGGGGCTGGGAAGGGATGGACAAAGCTTGACCAATTGTTAACAGGGTCCTGCAGAAGACTCTGTATATCCCCAGGGCACTGACCAGGTCCCCAAATTTCAACATTAACCAAGCACCATGCTAGACCCTCACTCCCACATAAACGGCTCATCCCAGGCAGTAAACGTTGGGTTGAGCTACCAGGACCAATGGATTTAAACTGGCATTACAATCCAAGGAAGCTCTGGAGAGGTCATTGGGGCCTCCATGGGTGCTGGGTACTCCAGTGGTGCCCCAGCAGGAAGGGGGCACCAGTTAGGCCATTCTTGGTCCCTGTATTTGAAAAGCAAGGAGCAAGCACAGGGACCAAGTGGAAAGAAAGCCTCAGCTCCGAATTGGGACTTCTTCACAGTGCTCCTGCACTCCCTAAGGCCCTTCACCTTGCCAGGTGCCATCTCTTCTCCGTGAAGGCCACTGCCCAGGCCCCATCTAACCCTGCCCCTCAGTGGCCTCTAGAGCCTGGTTAAAGTCCCCCAGTGCCTCCTTGTGTATAGACCTTTCATCTGCCCACTCCCTTTCTGCTCCTGGGGTCCCGTTCATCCTGCGGGGCTGCGAGAGAACCCCACCTTAACCCTTAACAGTAGTGTAGAGCCCCTTTCTCTTCCAGCTGGTGTAGAATAGCCAATAGTGTAGTGCGGTGTGCTTCTTACGTGATGGCGAGTGGGCAGCAGGCGGCGGGTTCTGCATAGCCTCCTTGATCTGCCTGTGGCGGCTCGTGCTGTGTTTTGTGCTGTGTGCGACCCCCATCCCTGTACTGACTCCTTCTATAAGCGCTTCTCTTTGCATAGCCACGTAGCTTCCCACCCCATCTCCTTCCTGTGTCTCACGCAAGTTTTATACTCTAATATTTATATGGCTTTTTTTCCTTTGAAAAAAAATAATAAAATTGTTTCTTCTGAAAGAGTGAGCATTTCTGTGTAAGATATGGAGGCTCTTGGCGTACGTGGAAGAACTGATGAGCTGAGAGGGATGTGATGAAGAGTGGGAACGAGGAAGCAATGATTGTGTTTGCGACTTGGTTTTGTGTCATTGCGTGTCTAGATCTGTTTTTGAATTGTGTGTGTGCCTGAGAGCTTCTGTATGACTGTCAATTGTGACTGTAAGTTTGCAGTATCCTTGTGTGTATGTACCGTGCGATTGATTGAATCTGTATAGTGTTGTGTGCAATCGGCCTGGGGAGCCGTAATGGGGGTGGGGATTTGTGTAACGGAGTGTGTAGTTGCATGCTTACGGTTGTCTGGGCTATGATTCTAAGAGACCAGTCTCCAGGCAGAAGAGGCAATCCTGGCGCGGGCGGGGGCGAGCTGGCACCGGGAAACAGCATTGGTGCAGGAGGAGGACGGTTTTTCTAGTTTCCGCCTCTTCTCTGCTAAAATTACCTCAGGAGCGCCCTAGCTGGCTTCTCCAGAAGAGGATGAACTCTTTCTTTCTCCTTAGTCCCCTTCCAGCCCCTCTGCGTAGGAGTTTCGGGAACACAGCAGCATTTTCTGTAGCTTGGGCTTCAGTGGCCCTGAGAATTCACCTCACCACAGGGAAGCCAAGGGAGGTGGCTCCACCCCTTTCTTGCTGGGTTCGAAGAGACTGAAAGGGCTTGCAGGAAATCCAATTGCCCACAGACACAGCACCCCTAACCCCCCACTCTCTGGGTGCTTTTCAACTCACATTTGGGCCTTCCCATCTCTCCGCCCCCTCCACCTGCCTCCTCAAAACACAGTGGGATTCTGAGGTTACAGCAGCCTAAACAGCGGTGGAAAACATTGAGTGGGGAAGAATTAGGGTGGAGAGAAAGACAGGGTTCTGGCGTGGTAGTGGTGGTGGTGGTGGGGGAGGGCGACAAGAAGAGGTGGGCAGAGAGAATGTCCAATCGCAGGTCTGGAGGTGGCTGTTTCTGGGTTTCCCCAGTGCGGAGTCTCAGAGCTCTCTCTCTCTCCTCGTCCTTCTGGCTCTGTTGTCATGGAAACAAAGCCTTCCAACTCTACAACCAGAGGCAAGGATCTTGCGTGGGAGTAAGGGTGGTGCGCATGGTTCCGGAGATAGAAACAGGGTTAAGAGTCGGGCAGTGGAGGGACAGGGTGCCGGGGGGCCTGGGTTATATTACCAGAATGGCTGCAGACTGGCAGAACGCAGTGAGCAGCTGTTGTTGCCCCCTAATTAGTATGTGTCAGCTAAGTTCTGAGCCAGAAACGCTTAGCCTGGAGGAGGGTGCAGGGAATGGAGGCAGCCCACCCTAACACCTCTGGCCACACTGAGGAGGCAACTGCTCAGGATCAAGGCAGGACTATTTAAATTGCTTTTATTTCTAGCCCGGTTCCTGCCTAAAAGGTTTTGTGGTCTTCTCCTGCCTCTCCCTGTCTATCATGGGCATGGCTCATTGCTTGTAAGGGTTTCTTTGTGCCAGTCAAAACGTGTTCAGACAAGTATGGCTCTTATTAGCAAGTCATCTGGAGCATGGCCTCAGGCTTCTGACCTCTGCTGTCAGATTTCAGCCCTAGTGTAAGTCCCTCTAGTCTGGAATGTGGTCTGTGGTCACTAAATGAGTGGTGGGAATGGGAGTCAATGCTTCCGTCCCTCAGAAAGGCTTTTACCAGGAAACTGTGTGACCTCTGAGAGGAGGGGAAGTCAGAACTGAGTTCAAGAAAAGGGCTCCAAGACAAGAGGCAGTAATGTGCTGACTTGGGCTTCCACTCCTTTATGGAGGTCAAATTCCTACCTAAGGTGAGCTCTGGTGGCACAGAAGCCACCAAGCATTAATATCTCTGCAGCCCTGTGCCCAAGCCTAATGTCTGCCACGTGATGGGCACCTTAGGTTTTTTGGCAGTGATTTGTGGGTCAATCAAGAGTGTGGGAAAGTGTGGAAAAACCTGGGCCAGACTGAAGAGAGCTCAGGAATTCACAAAGAAGGCTATAAGGTGGTACTGTTTCAATGCTTTATTAACAGTTGGAAACAAACCCAACAAACTGGAGGTGATGACATCCCAGAAGCCCAAGAGGCATGGGAAATAGGTTTGCATTTTGTCCCTTTTTATTATTTTTTATTAAATGCATCTTAGCAAAAGTAGACTAAAAAAGAAAGGGTCAAAACCCCAGACGTCAGTGAGAAGGGAGAATAAAGGGACCAATAGGCCCCCTGTACCACAGTCATCCCGGGAAGAGCTCCAAGGAGCTGCTGCAGCCCCTCTATACACAGGATCAAGTATGTGGGACTGGCCTAGCAACCAGAACCTTTTTTTCCTGGCCCCAAGGCCTCCCTGCAGTCACTCTTAAGTCTAAGTTTCCCTTTGCTTTTACAATCACAATTCTGGGCCAAGCCCTAACCTATCTGGGGCTGGGAAGCTGAAAGGGGCACAAGGAGAGCAAAAATGTCACCCTGAGCTGGAAAATCTAAGCTTCCTATGACTGGGGTCAGTGAACAGTTTGGCCTGCTCACTACTCAGAAGGGAGTGAAAGTCCAATGTTTGGGAGTACTCCCTGTGCCCACTTCCCCAGAGTGTCCAGTTAGCATTTGCACATTTGGCTTGATAAATATATTAAGTTTATAAGAACTTGGTGGTCTTAGAGCTCACGCTACTCCTAGGCCTGACCCAGTTCAACCAAAGAAGGGGTTCCTCCTGCCCCAGAATTGATACTGGGAGAGAGAATCTGTCTTGGCCCTAAAGGTCCAGAAGGCTGGAGGGCTAGGATGGAAGTACAGGGCCTTGTTCAGGATCAAAGCCTGTGGGAACTCTGGAACCTACCATCAAAGCCT